AAAATCTAAAATATAAATAACCAAAATAATGTATATTATTATTATATAATTAATAATTATTTATTTTTATTAATATTAATATTATCTTTATTTTTATAACATTTTAATGATATATAGTAATTTCAATTACAAGTATATAATATACAATTTTAGCTTAGAACATCCACTCTCCACATTCCACCGCAGCTACAGTTGCAAGAGTTCGTTTTTCGTTTTTTTTTTTGTATTTTCTTCTTTTTCATTTTTTTTTTCTTCTTTCCTTCTGCTTCTTCTTCACTGTCGCCGTCCGCCCGTAACATTCTATAATCCACAATCGCAGCCGGCGTGCAGGTTTAAAATTAAAAAGAAAAAAATAATGGCCGAACCGTCGGTTGAAACCGTAAACTGGCGGTTTGAACCAGCAGTTTGCACTTTGACAAATATATAAACCGTAACAAGAGGTTCGAAAACTGGTAAACCGAAGATTCGGAGCTACGTGGACAAATTTAAACAGAATGTGTTGTAAGTATATAAAATAAATTTGAAAGCATTTAAAGATATTCTAGAGGTACATTCAATTTTTATTTGAGAAAATCTAAAACAGGGACTAATATTAAACTAAATATATAAAGGAGGGAGTACAGACCAATTGTTTTAAAATAAGGACTGAATTATAATTGAACATTACCTGTAGTGAGCGCAGACCAATTCACCGATTAATTAAACCTAGGAGGATCCCGAGTTTCAAGGTAGTGAAACAGGTCTTGGAATTTTCAAAAGATTATTATACTATATTATTTTATATAACTAAAAAAGCTTGGAAGATTTCAAATCCATCTAAACTCTCTCAAAATTTTTAAAGTTTTATCATATATATAATTTTATTTATTAATAAAAAAGGCTCGAAGGATTCCGAGCCCAATTGAATAAATTTAATTTTTTATAGTAATCTTATTATTTCCTTATAATAATATAATGTTTTTTTTTTTCGTTTCAGCTAATTTGTCCACCTTAGCTGAGATACGAACTTTTATGTATTGTGTGATTGGTAAGTAATTAAAAATTATATTAATAAAAATAATTATAAACTAAGATTAAGATGATTAAATAGTTTAATTAAAATAATAAATTATAAATTAAAAATTTTAAAATGTAATTAAAATGTATATTTATATTTCCAAAAAATAAAATAATAAATTATGTGGGATGAAAGGGAATAAAAATAATAAAAAAATCATGTGAGATGAATCGAAATAAAAAAATGGACAAATTATGTGGATAGGGAGGAGTAATATATAATTATTTAAATAAAAAAAAATCAAAATTTTACCCTAATATTGTATCCGGATTTGCCGCCCAATCACTTCTTTTCTCTCCCCAGGACAGGATCCTCGGCCTATCTTCTGCCCAGCCTGCACGCCCTCTCTAATAGGATTGTGTATATATGTATATATATAATATGTATATATCTGTATTTGTACGTATATATTCCCTCCGTTCCAATAAAATTGTCTTTGTTTTTTCATTTTTTTCTGTATCAAAACAATTGTCTTGTTTTCTTATTTAAGTAACGGTGGTTCCTCTTTATAACAAAATTATTTTATTTTTTCAAACTATCTATAATTATTACTCTAATCTATTTTTTAAAATTATTTAAAAAGTAAAAGTATTTTAGTATTTTATCTTTTATTTTATATCAATTTTCAATTAAATACTATTATTTCTTAATTATCGTATCCATTCTAATAAGATATATTTTGTGGGACGGAGAAGGTATTATATAGAGATATTTATATATTATATATATATAACTTTAGGTGAGGGCGTTAAGGAAGTTTAAGGAGATGGGGTCGAGGATCCTAGTCCTTCCTCTCCATTATTCTTCTTTCTGCCACCTTTTGTTTCTTCCTTCCTCTTTCTCCCTCTATATCTTCTTCCTCATATATTCACTCTTCTTACTCTAATCCTAAAAGCAACATGTCACCACCATTTTCCATACTCTCACTATTTTCCTTCTTCCATCTTGTTATTACCAACTGCCATGGTATTTCCTTCTCCTTCCTCGTTTAAAGCAATTGTGGTCGACATTTGCATATGTAAGTTTTATTTTTAAGATTTTAATACATTGTGTTTCTAGAATTTGTTTGAAAAACCTTGTTTCTAGACTATTGCCGATCTGTTCGAGAGTTACTTGGCTAAGAACTGATGGAGGAAGCCTAAGGTCTGTTGTTGAAACTGTTGGTTTTCGGTGCGAATCAAAGATAAAAATGGATAGATCTATGCTAGGCTAGAAAAAAAGGGAGTTGTTGTTTTTTAGTCTTTATCTAGATTATATTTGATTGTCTTTCTTTTTGTTATTACAGTTTTGGTGATGGTAAAGAAGTCCCAAAGGTTCCCTAAGATCGGGATTTTGTTGTCCATAGCACCGGAAAATCCTTCTATCATCTCATTAGTTTGTAGGAGAGTAAAATTATAGCACACAAGTCTTTCATAAAGCTATAGTCAACGGAAAGACTGAAATTTTGGATTATGTTTTTTTTTTTTATAAAACTTATGAAAATTGCTTCGGAAAGTCCGAGACAAATAAAATTGGCTTCAAAATTTCCAATAAAATTTGAGTTGTATACATACTCATGCGCCCTTCATTTGGACTTATTAGGATTTGGCTTCAAAAGTTACTATACTTCTTTTTTGGCTTTGAAAATTTTGAGACTACTTATTATGACTTTGAATGACAAAAGAACATTTTTCTTGGGTACCATTCTAATTTTAATTACAAATTTTAAATTTTTTGTCTTGGATTTAGTTTAATATCCAAACTTGACAAAATTCTTGTAGTGGAGTACATATATTATATATTGTGTGCTGAAGTTGTTACTCCCTAATTTTTGAATTTTTGAGCCCGATAAAGAGCGGCGGCCCAACCCGGAGGTCCGCCATGGAGCCCAAATGTAGAGTGGACCAATAGAATTGAAAAGTTAGCTCCTAAACTAAAGGGAAGTGCACAAAAGTAAAGTAGTGGATAGTTATTTATTAAATTGAAATATAAATATGGACGAGAGGAATGAAAGACCGTCCAGTACCACCAATACCAAATGCCAGTCGGAAAGTCCATAGGTCAGAAGGACCGCCAGTCGGGTGGTATGCAAGTCGGGAGGTTTGCGGCTGGACCAACAAATCGGATGGTCTATAAGTCGGGAGGTTTGCGGCTGGACCAACAAGTCGGGTGGTCTGTAAGTCGGGAAGTTTGCGGTTGGACCAATAAGTCGGGTGATTTGTAAGTCGGAAGGTTTGTGGTCGGACCAACAAGGCGGAATGACTGCGGTCGGTCCAAAAAGGACGGAAGGTTTGTGGTCGGACCAACAGGGCGGAAGAGCTGCATTCGGGCCAAAAAGGCGGAAGGTCTGCGGTCGGTCCAAAGAGTCAGCCGATTTGTGGTTGGATAGGCAAATCGGTTGGTGTGGAGGTTGGACACTGTTGGAAGTGAGTGAGAGTGATAATTTGGTCGGCTAAGGGCACGTGTCAGCAGGAGAGGGGTTAGCAGACGGTTGAAAAAGAAGCGTCATAACCGTTCGGGCGACGGTTTTCAGTACCGTTTCTGAAGAGTATTTAAGGATTAGAATTTGCAACTGACATCTTATCTTCAATCAACTTCAAACGACGACAAAGTCAGTGATTCGGGGATCACCGTTTAAATTTTCAGCATTTTAATTTCCAGTTAATTTTCTGTACCGTACAGTGTTTAGAGATTTCTAATCTCAGATGCTAAATATATCAAGTTCGAAAATAATTTCTTATTTTCGAATTTTACTTTTTGTTTGTTGAAAAAAATACATCAACAATATCATTTGTTCCCTCCACAAATTATTCATTTTTAACCAATTTTAATTGCTTTCTTCCATTAATTTTTTGTAGCTAGCTTTCCATCTTTGCTCTAGCATTCACGACGGGTGTGTTTGTTTGGGGGTTTGGATTTTGGATTGGGATTTGAATAGTAAAAATTTTGAATTTGAATAGTTGTATGATGTGATATAAATAGGGTTTGATGTGATGTTTTGAATGTAAAATTGATTTTTAGTATAATATAAAAAATGAAAAATAGGTGTTTGATGTGATGTTTTTGGGGGGAAAAAATTGGATGAATAGTAGAAATCCTTCAAAATCCTTCAAACAAACACACCCGACAATTCAAATCTTGCATATTAATAGTTGATCTTCACATCCAATTTCATATTTTTGTATTTTTATCCCATTGTTTTTGGCTTCATTCAGTTTTTTAGCATTTGATTCAATTTTTGTTCTCTTAATTGCAATATTTTTTACTCTGAATTTATTACAATTATTATCAATCACGAGACCAAGCTTGGATACTTGCTTGAGTAGGCCGGGGAATCCAATTCATGTCGATTCCGATAGGTCCAAATTTATTCGGCTTTCATCGATGAATTTCAACGATAACAAATTGACACGTTCAATGAGACTCCAACAAGTATTTTCGCAACTGAGAAATAGCAAGTTAGCATCTACAGGCAGAACCACAATGTCGATTGCAGGCAAAATTACAGCGCCACATGTTTATGGAGAAATCACACGTGATGAATTCTCTGTAGCTCCGGGAGGTGTAAAAAGAATTGTGACAATCCCGGCTAGCGTTTTATAGGATCAGATCCGATGAGAGATCCAAACAGCGCTAGAGCTTTCCCAATACATTACGGATTTACTAAAGCTCACAATTTGCGGTGAACTTGCATAGGTGAGGAAAAACGAGATCCACAAAGGAGAAGCTCCCACGACTAACACCAAACCTTCTTAAAATGATCTTCTATCAAGGGTAGAATTGGGGACAACATCGGATCCACTTCGGCAACGTTTCAGCATGTCAACATGACCGTACTAACTCGGGGGACTAATAGTAAGGATGTCCCGAATGAGCTCATGGCTAAAACAACAACGTCCTCCGAGCTACTACAGGGCAGCCGCCATTCCAGAGACCTCCGGAAAGCATCGGAGGTATGCCACCAACTTCTCAATAGAGCACTAACTTCTTATTTAGTAAAACATGTCCTCGTACATCGATTTTGAATCGCAAGAATCAAAATCAATTTTTAACAGCTATACATATATTAATTGAAAACTTTCGGGCGAACACTCAATCTCAACGAATTTTGCATCTACGTGCGGTTTAGTTGTTGATTCCCTTCCTTGAAATTAATTAATTAATTAAATATTATTCTCATTTATAATTATTAATTAATGTAGATTCACAGTATGGCAGGCAATGCGGCACGTCGGGACTGCTGCTCCCGGGACCCGCCAACTGGAGACTAGTCCAGTTTGGGCTTAGTTTGGGCAAAGGCTTTCTTCCTCTGCCCCAACATGTAACCGTACAAGAATGGGCTGCCCGGAGCGTACAAGCACAAGGCGAATATCGCGAGGACATTACGGTAATTTCCGACGGACTGGTGTAAATGCGGCAGCGCTCTGTAGATGAGGCCTACTTCGCTGGAGATTCCGGTGGGGTACAACACAAGAAACGTGGTGTACCGCAGCCACTGCAGCCACGGCGGCGTCCAACCCACCGCCTCCCTGGCGGCGAAGTAGGCGTAGCGGACGATCTCCGTCACCGACCAGCTGAGCAGCAGTGAGACCACCAAGTAATTGCCGCGGATTTCGGGGACGCCGCGGAGGATTTCCCACACAACGTACAATCTCGATGAGACCTGTGGAAGCGTCGCGAGGACCGGAGATCTGACGATTCCGGCGATGCTGTGGGCGATTTCGATCGCGGCGGCGGATTGTGCGAGGACTAGAGGCTTCTCCACGGCGGCGTAGACGGAGGAGCGGGGGCGGGATTGGGATTGGGATTGGGTGAGAGCTTTTAGGGTTAGGTAGAGCACTTGGATCCATCCGAGGAGGACGGTGAAGTTGTAGACGGCGAGGTAGATCCGGCGGACGGAAGAGATTAATGTTCCGGCCATCCAAATTGATCCGGCCGACTGACTGACTGACTGACGACGAACGCTATGTAAGTATGTATGTATGTATTTTTGGCATTATATATATATATATATTAACTAAGTTGGGTTTATATATATAGTCATGTAGATGGTGTTGGTTATGGTTTCATTGATTTGAAAATGAAATATGATGGTAACTCCTGTTTGTTTAAATTTAAGTGGTGTTTGTTTGGGGAATTGAATTTTGAGTTGGGATTTAAATAATAAAAGTTTTGAATTCGAATAGTTTTATGATGTGATATAAATAGGTGCTGATGAATGTTTTAAATGTAAAATTAATTTTAAGTATAATATGAAAAATAAAAAATAGGTTTTTGATTTTATATTTTTAGCAGAAAAAAAACTGGGATGAATAATATATTTGAAAAGAAATCTCCCAAATAAACATACCCTAGTGTAAAAATATTTTGTACTTTAAAAATTTGTATAGCATTACCTTAGACTTTAAAAAGTGTGTTGCTTTCTTTATATTATGAGAAAATAATTTTTTATTTATGTATTTTACACGTGAATTTATGTAATATATTTAAAGTATAATGAGTGCCACACAATTCCTACGTGAATACATGGAGATTTACTTAAGTTTTGAATAGTCAATTTTGCCTAATTTAAATGAATTTTGGCGGCCCTGCAGTCAGTGTATTGACTTAACTAGTCTATACATAGATAGGCATGCATATACATTGAACTTAGGCGCCTTTACTTGTAGTATAATAGTACCATTTTATCAAATCTAATACATATTTACTACAATTGATTAAAATTCGAGATTAATATACGATAATTAATCATATTTACTTAGATATGTGTCATTAATTTATCTCAAATGTCGGGTCATGTGTTAACTTTATAAAATAAGATTATCATACATAATATTATTTCCATAAATTATGTAATTACATAATAAAATAATTTAATGATTACTTTAATTGATTATTATATAAAATTATTATTATTTTTTTTAAATACTATTGATTATATGATAACATTAATATTAAATTCGCTATTAAATTCAGTAATATTTAATCCATCTATGAATGATGAATTAATAATCCTTAATTAAGCTACTATGATTATGGGCTTTAGGTTTTATTTTATTCGGTAGTAAATACTTCATCTCTCTCGTATATATATCTATTTACTTTTTTCATGGAGTTTTATAAATATTATTATTATATTGGGATAAAGTATAAATAAAGGTAAAAAGACTAAATTAACCCCTATTAGTATTATATGATATAAAGAAAATGACGCTTGTGTAATATATTGTAAATTGGAAAGATATTTGTAATGTTAGATAGATAGTACTATTACGTACAAATAATAATAATAATAATAATAATGGTAGCAGGATCTTAAAGGAAGTTAGGACACGAATTCGGGTGGAAAAGAAGAAAATATGCACTCAGGTCGGTTGGTCCGAGGTCGGTTAATCCGGTCGGTTGGTCCGCAGTTGGATAAGCAGGTCGGAAGGTCCGCGGTCGGACAGACGGGTCGAAAGGTCCTTGGTCGGACAGGCAGGTCGGTTGGTCCTCGGTCGGATAGGCAGGTTAGAAAGTCCGTGGTCGGATAGGCAGGTCGGAAGGTCCGCAGTCGGATAGTCTGCAGTCGGATCGGATGGTTTGCAGTCGGTTGGTTCGCAGTAGGTTGGTCCGCCATCGGTTGAGTCGGCCAATACGGAGTTTGGACCAAGCGAAGAAGGTCTGTTAATTAGTCGCCTAATTAAGTGAACAGTAGTTCAGTCGCTTGGTTGGGGCGACCATTGAATTGTCTGGAGAGATCAGATGTTGGTCGCTTGATGGGGCGACCAATAAGTCGTTTGGTCTAGCGACCAGTTAGTCTCTGGAATGGTCGGTGAGTCAATCGTTGGGTTATGCGTTTGGGTCAGTCGGTCGGCCTGCAGTCTGTCTGAAGCATGCTGGGCGTTTTGGAGCTTTCGTTCAAGACTAGCCGTCCATTTAAAGAAGTAAGGCGCCCAGAGGCGGTCGGTCGGGCCAGTTGAGTTCTGGAACTTATGGAAGCGTTTGGCGAAACGGTTAAAGACACGTGTCAATAAAGGAGGAATTGGTGGGCGGTTGCAATAACCAACCAGGTGACGATTCTGAAACGTTTTTTCGAAGGAATATTTAAGGATTCGGGCCTGTTATGAAAAAATCATCTTCAATCATTTTCAAACGATAACAGAGTCAGTGATTCAGGAATCATCATTTAATTTTCAGTCTTTATTTTTCAGTTTATTTATGTACCGTACAATGTTTAGAATTCCTAATCTCAGGCACTAATTATATCAAATTCGAAGATAATTTCCTATTTTCGGATTTTACTTTTTTATTGTTGAAAAAATACATCAACAAGTACAATTACTAAAAAAGGAAATAGATACTTTGTTATGGGACGGACCAAAATTGAAAAATGGATAGATTGTTAAGGGCCGGAGGAAGTGTATGATTATAATAAATAAAATAATACTACCTCCGTCCATCTCTAAGAGTTTTATTTACTTTTTTACATATTAATCTTTTAATATTAATAATTATATCAAATTATAGTATAAATTAAAAAAAATTGCAAATATATTTTAATTAGTATCTTATAATACTAATATAAGAACATTTCTACAAACAAACTATATAAATATAAGGATATTTTTAATGTTCAGTACAATGACGCAAAAGGTAAATATTACCTTAGAGGCGGACAAAGGGAGTATTATCTACCAGAATCACCAAAAGTTAACGCTGGCGTTCACGCAGAGTTTTTAGATGAATTAAATTTTTATGTGTGGCATGAAAAATTGTGTCAAAAGTATAATATATAATTATATTAATTTGAATATTTGATTTTCGTAATGAATATTTGGAGATTTTTTTTTTTTTTTAACTTTTTTTACTTTTGTAAAAATTATTTTGTATTGTTTATTATTATTTTTGAAAAATCACAGTTGAGAAATAGTATGGGGGAAGAAAGCAACTCTTTAGTTAATGAATAAAACTTCATTCATTGTATCATTTCTTTGATATGATAAATTTCATTGCCTAACTATTTATATTTAACTAGGATTAGGATTAGGATTGGGATTAGGGTTAGCATTAGAATTAGGGTGGCTTTGGATAGACCATTGGTATAATGCTGAGTATGTAGTACTCCCTCCGTCTTAAACACCCTGCAACATTTTATTTTTGGTATGTCCCAAATACTATGCAATATTTCAAAAATAAGAAATAATTAATTATACGTAATATCTACCCCACACTTTATTCCCTCACATCATCCAAATAAAAAATTAAAAAATATATTTCTCTCTCCGTCACATCACCTAATTTCTAAATTATCCCACTTAATACTACCCACCTAAAAACCCACGTCAAAAGTAAATGTTGCACCTTGTTTGGGACGGAGGGAGTATTTTGTTACATTAGTTTTAATATTAATCTGGTAGTTGATCTTCACTAATATTGGTTTAAGAATTAACTCTAATTTATCTAATAGTATAGTAATTATGAATGTTAATATCATTAATCAATCAATTAAGTAATGAATCAATTACATTATATTTGAACATAAAATTTTCGTACAAAATATACAATTTTACCTAAAAACAAAACCGGTATATCTAACACACAATGCTATCCACAAATGACATGTATATATTATGTGTACTATACATTGAAGATAATTAAAAAATTCATTATCTAATATATTAGAAAAATATATCTCATATTTTTTTGGGACACATTCCATATAAATTCCCTGTGACCAAGTCAATTTTTCTTCTCTTTCTATTAACTTTCTATCATGTCAAAAGACTTATATGCCCTTATACTCTAAATTTCAAACAAACAAAAAAATAAAATTGGTCTACCATTCTCACGTAGCATAATCGCATGTGCTGGATCGTCAGTTCACATAAAGTTTTTGCTTAAAATTCGTAGTTCGGCTTTTCTCTCATCAATTGAGTATTTTCTACACTTGTATGTTTTATACTATTTATTTGTTGTTTATAAGATTTTTAAGATTAATGTGTTCTAATACATTTTTTATATTTTTTATCGTAATATCGCAATGTATAAAAAGAATGACGAAAAGAAAATCATCGTAATTCCAATAAAAAATAAAGAAAGTGCATAATCCAAAATTATTACCTTTCACGCTAAAAATATCTATTTTCAGCGGAAACCAGTGATATTTCTGCGAGCTTGCAGAAACATATTGTGTTTCCGCTGAAAACAACAAATTCTACCAAGAAAATACATATTTTTGGCAGAAACACAACATGTTTCCAAAAAATAGGTATTTTTCAAGTACATGTATAAGATTTAGAACACTAAGTGCAACTTTATTCCTATGTAGGTATAACTTTGAGTAAGTATAATTGTCTTCTATTGTAGGTACAACCTTGTGCATACCATTTTTTGAAGTGATTTTACTGTCTTATCGTGTTCGACCAATACTACTTGTTCAAAATAGTTTTTTCTCGTGTCCCACATAAAAGGTGGCGATGGAAGTGAGTTTAGTGATTGTGAAGGCGCATTTTACATGAAAAATGACGTTATACCTGACATAACATCTCTTATTTCCGTTGAAAACAGATAATTTTGACCTCAAATAAACTTTTATTGCAGAAATATAGTATGTTTCCACGAGAAAAAGTAAATTTTTAAGACAGTTGTACCTACAATAGAAGACAGTTGTACCTACACAAGCTCAAAGTTGTATCTATATAAGAATGAAGTTGCACTTGGTCCTTGCTAGTCTTGTGCATGTACTAGAAGACTTGACTTCAGTATCAAAGTTGATATTTTTGGATTTTTCCATCGTATTCGAATGCAACCGTATATATACTTCAATAAGGAGCACATATCCCTAAATTATAAGAAAATCAACTATACAATGTCATTTTTCATGTCAAATGTAAATATATATATATGTAAATGTAAATATTATAATTGTGTATATATATCTATATATCTAAGTGTTGTTATAAATATTAGGGTAAATTATATCAAACCCCCTTGTGTTTTAGTAAAAATGCACAAAATACCATATGTTTTATATATTGCGTGAAACCTACTTGTGTTAATGTAAAGTTTGCACGAAACACCTTTCTTGTCTAAAACTGATGTTTGATTATAAATA